TCCTATAAGACGCTCCCACACCCATGTGTGAATGACCCAAAGGATCACCATTAAAGTTGGCATATATCTCTAAAAAAAGTTATCACATGGATATGAAAATTGATTTTTTTTAGAGATTTGTATCAAATTTAATAGTGATAATTTGATGTCCTACACACATAGGTGTGGGAAGGTCGCCTAGGATCATTACTCATGCATATATAAAGGAAAAATATATAATGAGACCATTTACTTTTGGTACAACGTAGTCATAATTAATCTTGACCATTAGATGTGAAATTAGGTGGTTGTATTTATGTCATTGACTAACTTCAAAGTTCAAAATAAATTTTTTCGAATTTTATGACACACCCAAACTATCAGATTTCACATTGGACGGTTGTAAGTAATTGTGACCTCTCTATATAAAAGATAAATGATCTCATTGTATATAATCTCATATATAAAATAATGTACATTACTTTAAAAAAAAATTAGGTTAGATTCGGATTGGATCCACGTATACTCAGATTCAACCCGAATTACGATGCAGATTTAAATCTTAATTTCGAATTAAATCCGGATAAAGTGAGAATTCCAGATTTTCGAATCGGGACAGAATAAATTCTTAGCCCTAGGGCCTCCCCTCCACGTGGCCACGCCTCTCTTTTGGGGGCATGGCAAACCACACAATGTTCCCTCTTTTTATATAACTAATGGAAAATAGTTAACTAATGGAATGTAATTTCGTGGGGCTGCAACTTATCAAAATAAGTAAAGTCACATCTCAATACTCACCAAAAATGACAATTATGGAGTTGGAAAATCTTCAAAACGATCATTTTGGATTGTGAAAGAAAATTAAGATTTCAAGCTTTAAAAATAGTGTGTATTGCGACAAGTTATCTAGAGGGTCCATTTTGCTCTAAAAATAAGTGTTTACATATCAATATAATTTTTTGAGCTTCAAATATCATAGTCAGGATTGAAATTGATTTTAAAGCCATCATGAAGATTTCTGATAGCCAAAATGTTTATTGGACGAGGATTCGAGGTGAGGCTTTACTTTGTTTTTATAAAGGCTAGGCATTATAGAAACTTCATCCTTATGTAAACCAGTGCTTAAAAATTCAACTAGGCTTCCCAAATAGGGTATCTATCATTTTCAGAGTCAACCGAGTCGATTAAGTGAGTCACTTGTGCTAACTGCACCAATTATTATAAAAGCAAAAAAAAATAAATAAATAAAAATAAGATAAACAATAACAAAAAGGAAAAAATGACATTAAACCAAGTACTCGAAATTAAAAACTTGATCCATACCATTAGAAGCATATATTAAAATCAAAATGGAAAAAAAACAAAACAAAACAAAAAACATTTTGGAAAGGAAAAAGTGAAAAAATGGAAAAAGAAAAATATAAATTTGAGATTTTGGTTCAGATTCGAAATTCAAAAAGATTTATTTGGTCCTTTGCAGATCAATGTGATAGCAACAATTTCAGACAGATTCAGTAAAAGAAATGGGAGGGAAATTGAAGATTTTTTATTCTGGGTTGGAACAGCACATGAAATTTGAAAAATCAATCTCCTTATTTTGATTTTTAATACGACAAATTAATATAGGGGCTTGATACAGGGTCTCAAAACAACTAATTTTTGACAAATTTCAAGTTCCGTTAAGAATCGATCGAGATTGAAAGAAACAAGGATTGGAATTTTGGGGTGGAAGAATCATGAGATTTTGATGAGAAAACGTCATCAAAATATTAATTTTATTTTTGAATCAAAACATGTCTTCAACATTAGATTTTGGGGAGTAAATAGCAATGGTCCAATCATTGATCCTGAATAATAAAAAATTATGAAATACAAACCTAAATATTGGGGTCAAATTTCACATTTTTTTATTTAGTTTGGTCGAGTTCTAACCAAGCTAAAAAGTGTTAAAAAAACTAAATAAATATAAAAAACTCAAAAATAGGAAAAAAGGTTTATAGTAAAATTAAGAAAGGAACGTCTCAATGAGATTAAAAAAGTAGTGAAAATTTTATATTTTGAAAAAATCAATTTGTGATGGGGGTATTTTAGAAACCATAAAAAAAAAAAATGTAAAAATAAGTATTTATGGCCAAAACACTTCTCTCTCCTCTCTCAAAACTCCGCATCTATTTTTTTTTCCCAAGAAATGGAAAGAGTTTCAAATGAACAAAGATCAATAGTCAAAAAACTCAAACTCAATTGAGACCTCTTCAAAGAGAACTTTATTGAAAAAAAAATTTTACTAAAGTGAATCCAAAAACCCAAATCTAGCTAAAACTGAGTAAATACGAAATATAATTGAAAATCAACAACTTTCAAACTAGGAATCAGCAAATACAAGAAAGGCTGACTGAGTAAATACAAAATATAACTGAAAATCAACAACTTTCAAACTAAGAATCAACGAACACAAGGAGCAATACAAGAGAGACTGCGGGAAGTGCGTTTCTCATAAAAATAAAAAAAAAGTTTATCAAAAAAGCGAAATTGAGGAACGTGAAGAGCGAGAAAGAGATCTCGTTTTGAGGTGCTATATTGGGAGAGATTATTGCAACTGATCATCTTCCTCATCAAATTATTTACAAGGGAAGTATTATTGGAATTGAATCCCTTTGTTAATCTCACCCCAAATACCACAACAATGCAATTTCTATTGATGGTATCCTACAAGCAAGTTTGCGAGTTGTGGGCATTGTTGCCGCACTGCAAGCAGCTCTGCTAAGACATTCTCTCTCTAGCGCCCACCCCTCTCTCTAGAGAGAGAAACAAAGGAGATAAAATGCTTCTCTTTCTTTCTACCTGAAACTAAAGAGACAAAAGGAGAGAGAGGAATATGGACGGCTCGAGCTGGAGATCCGAATTTAAAGGCGACCAAATTGTGAGTTGGAGACTTTTGAGAGAAAAAGAGTATGAGATAGGTGAGAGATGGAGTTTTCAAAGAGAGAGAGACAAAGTGGAGAGAGATACGGAGTTTTGAGAGAGATAGAGATGGATTCATTTTACAAAATGTTTAAGTCAATAATGTATGGTCAAAGGGATCTAGGGGATAGGAAGATAGAAAAGATAGAGACTTTACGCCGCAAGAAATATTTTAAATTCTTGATTTTCTTGAGAAATAGAAGCCAAAAATAAGGGTTACGAAAATATTTTCTCTTAATATTAATCACTGAAATATATTTATCATTAAAAAATATTTTAAATAAAACATGGTGTTAGAGATCATTGAATTTATCCTCAGAATTGAATAATTTTATTTTATAGATGTGATATAAAATATTAATTTAATATAATATTTGCAACAACTTGAGATTATTAAAAATTCGTTAAAACTATGAAAAAAATAATTAAGATATTCAGTTTGGGAAAACATAAGATTAGAGGGAGACCAAAATGTCTTTAATGCTATTTTAAATAGAGGAATCAAGAGAGACGAAGGGCATATGAAAAGTAGTGAGAGAAAGCTACATGAGATGGGATAAAATTTATAATTAGAAAATAAAAATGACTCAAGTATATTCTAAGAAAAAGAATTAAATCTTATACATACTTAATCACATATTTTTTGTTAAAAATATAATATTGTCATCACAAAACTAATGTAATGTTCAAATAGTCATAAAAAATTTTAAATATAAAAATTATAATTAAAATAAATGTAAAAGGAAATATTGACATGAAAGATCATTGAATTTATCATCACAATTGAATAATTTAAAAAATGGTATGGTTTGTATAGAGCCGAGGCTTTAAACAATCAAAGTAAAGAGCACCTTCAAATAGTATCGAGAAATATAATTTCAATATCTTTATTTATGATAGCCTTAAAATATATTTTCATCTTTAATTAAAAAATTGAAAGCTTCAAAAATAGTGTAGATAGAGCGGATCTATAAAAATTTGAAAATATAGAAAATTGACGGTACAAAAATGCGTTATAATATGTCCAATTTCCAAAACTTGAAATCCCTTTTTTTATCTCGTTCATGCTTCTTGATGTTCAGATGATCAATTTGAGGATATTTGGGCATCAAAACTACCTCTTCTAGTGAAATTTTTGATATGGGCTCTAATTTGAGTAGTTAGAGCCTCGACTCTATATAAAGTTTCGACTCTATATAAAGTTTTTCTTTTTATTAAACAATTATTGATATGATATTATACATTGTTTTAATTAATATTATTTTTTCGTAATATTTTCAACAACTTGCGAAGAATAGAATTTCGTTAAAACTACGTAAAAAAGAAATAATTCAAAAAGGGGTAGTGCTCCTAAAGAAAATCATTGAAAATTGAATTTAAAAAAAATTAAATTAAAGAAAGAAAATCCCAATCTCTCTCTAAACTACACTTTGAGAGAGAGATTATTTTTTTGGAAAATTATAAATGGTGCGGTTTGTATAGAGCCGAGGCTCTAAACAATCATAGTAAAACGTATCTTCAAATAGTATCGAGAAATGTGATTTAAATACTTGAAATCTTTTTGATAGCCTTAAAATATATTTTTATATTTAATTATAAAATTTAAAGCTTCACAAATAGTTTCGAGCAGATCTATGAAATCTTGAAAATTGACGGTCCAAAAATATGTTACAATATGCACTATTTTCAAACTCGAAATCCATTTTTTTCTCATGTCCATGTATCTTGATGTCGGGATGATCAATTTAAAGATATTTGAGCATCAAACCAACCTCTTCTTGTGAAATATTTGAGGTGGGCTCTAATTTGATTGTTTAGAGCCTTGGCTCTAAATAATTTTCTCTAATTATAAACTCCTTCAAAATTAACTTTTTAAACATCCTACACTAAATACTTTTAGTATCACAATCTAAACCTAATACTATTTTTTTTTACCCATAGGAAAAAAGTCAATAATCTTAAGATTAAAATGCCTTTATCCTCCCTTTCTCTACCTGCCCTCTCTCTAAACACCCCCAATCAATTTCATAAAAATACTATGAAGTTTTACATTTGGAAAAATCGAAAATGGGCAGGTTCGTTATTTTTTTTTTTTAAATTGTTATGAAGTTGAAAAAATGGATATAAATGTAATAACAAAAATTTGAAAATAATTATATAATAACCTTAAATATAAGGATATATACATTATTTTTTCTAATTTTTTTTTTATATATTTGCTCTCTTTACACCGTATAAAACCACCCAGTGAGCCCACCTATACATTTCTTTAATTTTAGGTGCGAGAAAGTCTACTGAAACCCATGATAATAAAAATGAAGTACGCGATGTTAGGTACATATTTAAGTCTACTGAAACCCGTGACAATAAAAATGAAGTACGGGATGTTAAGTATATATTTAAGTCTACTGAAACCCATGATAATAAAAATGAAGGACGGGATGTTGGTACATATTTACATAAAATATCTCAATTTAATGTAGAGAGAGAAAGTGGGTGTGACGACTGTGAGTGAAGTGTGCGGACAATGTTCATCGTGGATGATGCTCTTCCCACGGGCTGAATGACTCAGAGAGGTGACAAATGTCTTAGCGAGAGAGCGAGAGAGATTTGGAAGTTGGAAGGTCTCCAAAGACTATCAACGCTCTGTTTCCATGACTCCAGTTGAAGCTTCAATTTTGCTCATTGCTTCTGTAATAATTACAGTGTTTATATGTGTAATTTTAGAGAGACGAGTGTGGAGATATGGGGCATATCCCCCTGTTGTAGGCACAGTGGTCCATCAGCTCATCAATTTCAGCACGCTCCACCATTTTCATCTTGGGCATGCCCAAAAGCACACCACTTACAGGCTGCTTAGCCCAGCTCGTGGAGAGCTTTACACGGTCAACCCTGCCAATCTACAGCACATTCTCAAAACAAACTTTGCAAATTATGGCAAGGTGGGCAATAACTAATCTAGAGAGAGATGGGTTTTTCTTATTTCCATGAGACAGAGAGAGATTTTCTTTTATTTCCATCATTTGGGTCATGAAAAAAGTTCGTCCCCTGTGTATTGCTGCCATCTACTGGTGGAGAGAGAGAGAGAGAGAGAGATTGTTTTCTTCTTTTGTTCCTGGTTTCATTTATTCTGGTCGTAGCTGGTTTTCTCTGTGCACTGTTTCAACTTTGAATTGTTTTGGTCATGAGAGTTGTTGATTCTCTCTGTACCCTGTTTCAACTTTGAATTATTTTGGTCATGAGAGTTTGGTTCTATTTACAAACTACTGCCCTGCAGCACTTGGAGAGAGAGAGCGAGAGACTAAAATAGTGTTTGAATAGTGGAAATCGGACCCTGACTAACCATGTAGCCGAGCCCGATTGCTTCTGGTCTGACTCAGGTGAGTTCGAGTTGGAGGGGGGTTATCGGTGGGGTTTCTAATAAGAAAATTTTTAAATTATGAAAACGAATGGAGGACAATTGCAGAATTTTTTGGCCAAGAAATGCTTCTCCAACACAGGTGTCAATTTTCCAAACATTGAATTGAAGCATGACTGCCAATTTTGCAGGGCAAATATCAGCACGAGGTATTGAAGGATCTCTTTGGTGATGGGATTTTTGCAGTCGATGGAGAGAGGTGGAAGACTCAAAGGAAGCTCGCCTCCTATGAGTTCTCCACTAAAGTGCTTAGGGAATTCAGCTGCAAGGTCTTCTGCAAAAATGCTGTTAAGTTAGCAGGCAAAATCTCCGAGGCTGCAAAATCACATCTCATAATGGACATCCAAGTAAGCCTTATATCCCTGAATTACGTTCTTCATTCTTTTCTCTTCCAAATTCATTTTCACTCTACTTCGATTGGGCTTAGTTTTGGGGTCTTTTGCAGGATCTGTTAATGAAAGCCACTATGGATTCGTTATTTAAGGTGGGTTTTGGCTTGGAGTTGAATACCCTTCTTGGGTGCGAGGAGGAGAACAAATTTGCCAAGGCCTTCGGAGAATTGAGCGCCCAACTTTTGCGTCGCTTTACCAATCCCCTTTGGAAATTAGAGAGGTTCTTGAGTTTAGGTCCTGAAGCCATGCTCAGAAAGAACATAAAATTCATTGATGATTTTGTGTACAAGATTATTCAGCAGAAAAGGGAACAAGTATCCAAAGAACATGACTCCGTAAGTATATCAGGCATCCTATTGAACCTCAAAAGCAAGTTTTCTTGTCTAACAAAACTAAGATAATCCTAATGTTCTCCTGATATCGTTTTTGCAAATTTGTATTAACTCAAGTAGTCATTTGATTGGCAGCTTGAGAAGCATAGGAAAGAGGACATTCTTTCTCGATTCTTGGTGGAAAGCGAGAAATACCACGAGAAGATGAGTGACAAATATCTTAGAGACATAATCTTGAATTTCTTGATTGCTGGGAGAGACACAACAGCTGGAACTCTCTCTTGGTTCTTCTACTTGCTTTGCAAGCACCCCCATATACAGGAGAAGATAGCCCAAGAAGTAAGAGAATCAGTATGCACCAAGAATGAAGGGAATGTAGAGGGAGTCACTATGTCTGGCTTTGCTGATGCGTTAACAGAGGGTGCACTAGGGAGACTTCAATTCCTTCATGCTGCGCTCGCTGAGACTCTCAGATTATACCCAGCTGTACCTGTTGTAAACTTCTCACTCTCTGATTATGCATTTTGTTATCTTGAATTGGCTTGTGAGTTGAAAATTTGATCCAAAGACTCCCCTTTTTGGTAAAGATTAGCTTGCTTCTAGGGATCCTCATATGCAAATGGTCAATGTTTGGACTTTTAAGACATTCTTATAGGGCAATCTTGATATGCATTTACTGACATGTCTTTTGTTTGAGACGCACTGTGTTTGCCATGTTTTTTTGCATGAATAACTCTTTTCCGGAATTTCTTTGCTTTGTTAATCTGATTAGCTGCCCCCACTTCCAAATTCAATTTGAAACTACTCAAAATACCAACTCAAACATTCTTGATGGTTACAATGAGAAGTTAAAACATCGATGATGGCCTTGACAATTGACATAAACGGTAAGTGGTATGCCTAATTGGAACATGACAGCACAAACTGCCTGAATAAGTTTTTCATCTCTCTCTTTCTAATTTAATATTGCATGTCTAATTTCGATTATGACAGAATGCCAAGGTTGCTTTTGGCGATGATGTTCTCCCAGACGGCAGCAAAGTGAGGAAAGGAGACATGGTGAACTATCTATCTTATGCCATGGGTAGGATGACTTCCATTTGGGGTGACGATGCTTATCATTTTCGACCTGAGCGATGGATACAAAATGGAGTTTTCCAGCCCAAGACACCTTTCGAATTCCCTGCATTTCAAGTATGCAACTTCCTTTCTGCTTCTTTTCTTTGGCAAATTGAGATTCAAGTAGTTAGCTAGCAACCACCAGTCCAACTGTTTTTTCAAATATAAATATGGTCAATGACTGCATAGCTGTTCTGGAAAATCAATAAATGACTTTGGAACCATGTGAAAGCATGGGGGTGATTCATGCGTCTTGGTTACTCCTCTCAAAACATCATTCCCTTGGAATCTAATCCATAAAAATTACACGCTAGCTCTAAGGAACTCTGAATGGATGAGTGATATTTTCTCCTGACAAATTTGCACTGAAACTATCTCACTAGCAGGTGTTGAAAACTTGGACTTGGGTTCTGTCTTGCCGGGGGTCTGAGCAAGCCTCCCCTGTCTAACTCAGAGTTGCTTAACCCGGAGTCTGGCTCGAGTGAATTCTAATCAACCAGGGCATTTTTAAGTATAAAAAATTGATATTATATGAGAAACTTGGGAGACTCCTGCTGTTCCTCTTTTTTTTTCTAACTGCAGTCTTCGCTGGTCCCAATCCTGAGCCAACTTAGATCATTTCGAATTGCTCGCGATTTTCAAATTACATCTAACAGATTTAGTATTGATTTCCACTGTGCGATATCATTTGCTAATGTTTTCGTTTGCATTTTGGTGGGGGTTCCAGGGTGGGTGGCTCGCCATTTCAACTTACTTTTAACAGATTTAGTATGTATTTCCATTATGCGGTATCATTTGCTCATGTTTGCTTATGGATTTTGGTGGGGGTTGCAGGGTGGGCCCCGTATATGTCTTGGAAAGGATTTCGCATACCTTCAGATGAAGGTTATGGCTGCAGTCTTGATTCGCTTCTTCAAATTTAAACTGAGGGATGAAGAGCAGGAAGCCCACTACCATACCATGTTGACCCTGCATATTGATCATGGCCTTCATGTCTATGCATTTTCTCAAAATATTTGATCATCTTAGTTTGTGAGCTCTAGGCTTCCAATGATAAGTGGAATTGTCGATATGTTTGAATAACAATGGAGCTTGGACGTGCAATGCGTCCAACGATTGGGATGATGTGGTTCTCCTTCGTCTCCTTCACAGCACCCCCTGTATAGCCTTTCCTTGAGAGTATTCTGTACTCCAAACTTCAGCTGGGTGCATATAATCGATTGAAGGTCCTCTGAAATAAATTACAACGCTCATTGCTGTGATATCACTGGTTAATTCCCATGATGATGGGTTTCCAATATTCATAACTGCCATTATTTTTAGAAGGGATAACACATAGTGAGTAAACATGACATGCCCCAAGCTTTTTCAAATTGTGGAAATCTTATCTGTCATTGATCTTTCCCAACAATTGTTTTACCTTTTGTAACTTGATCGTGTATCTTATGCAGTACTTTTTGTTCAAGAAGGTGACAACCACTCCGAGCTTTAGATCTGAAATCATGCAGCTAAGAGAGTGTCGCAAAGTTTAAGAAGAAACTTTTTTTAACAGGTCAATAGCACATTTAACCGTCTAATTTCAAATTCAATGGCTATGAGTAATTGTGACCTTCGTGTACGAAAAGCAATGGGTCTAGCGTTTACTTTTTTTTATAGCTTTTAATAGTGTCATTTTCACTTTTAGTTCGGCATTAATAATGGTAAATGGGGAAGGTTGTTTAGTTAACCAAAAAGGCAAAAATACTAGAGACCTGGGCCGATAAAAAAGATAAAATACCAGCCACTGCCTTTCTATTGCCAGTTTGTTCATAAAAATCTTAAAAAGAAGTAAGTTCTAAAATATTTTGGAGCTGACAATTTTTTAACTCGGAAAGTATCATTTAAGTAATTAAAATATCATACAAAACCATTAAAAAGGTCAAAAGATCTCCCGTAAAGAAAATCATTTCATTGTAGCAAAAGAGAAAATCATTTCATTGAAGCGAAAGAAGAAAGGTCATTTCAATTATGTGGGATCTCAGCCACTTCATTCCTCATAGAGAGCCGGGTCACTTAGCCTCGGCTCTGGGATGGCAAGGAGAGGCACAGCCTTCTTTAAAACAATGCCAAACTTCTCAGCCATGTCCAGCTTTTCTCCCTCGGGCAAACACCATTCAAAAGAGTGAAGAAGAGTAGCTACAGAGTAGTTGACCATACGGTTGGCCATGGCTATGCCCGCACAGATACGCCGCCCCGACCCGAAAGGAAAATACTCAAAATCACGCCCACTAAAATCCCATTTGGGCTCTCTCAAAAACCTCTCGGGGTCGAACTCAAGAGGCCTATCCCAATGTGCAGGGTCTCTCTGAATGCTCCATACATTGATGAAAACACGAGTGCCCGTAGGCACATTGTAGCCCCCAACGGTGCATGGTGCACTAGGGCAGTGGGGCACGAGTAGGGGCAGGGCAGGGTGAAGGCGAAGAACCTCCTTAACGATTGCATCTAGGTATACAAAGTGAGAAAGATGTGACTCCTCGACCGTTGTGCTCGTGCCAACCACCCGGTCTACCTCTTCTTGAGCCCGCTTCATGATCTCGGGCTTCTCGAGCATGTGCGCCATTGCCCACTCAACTGTGTTGGACGTCGTATCAGTGCCTCCGACCACCATGTCCTGTTCCATTTCAAAGCACCCATTTCCAAACAGTCGTGTTAATCCAAGAGGGCATATATTATACACTCTGATCCATTAGTAACAAGTAATTGCATAGCATACATGTATATGTAGTCCCTTCCATCCATCTATGCTCAGCACTCAAAGGTTGAGATGATTTTTACACAGCTTAAATATATCGTTATCTACTCAAATGAGTTGAATAATTTGTCTGAATCATCCGCTGGCCGCAACCTACTAGAGTTGTAACCAGCAGGTGAGGTTTGGGTTTGACTGGCCTGGATTGGCCAAATATGAATGAGGTCCAATCTCCGAAACCTACCATTGTAGCCTTGACCCAGGCCTGACTCTTTGACAACCATATGCTCCACAAATATTAAATCACTTAACAATACTTAACTCGAAATTTCTTTGTTAACTACTCTACATATAATTCGATTAAGAAGCTAAAACATCAAACAACTAAGTGGTGTGCCTGTATTCAGACACCTTGGCAGAAATTAAAAAATGTAAAAATGTCTTCAAATAACCTTTTCCCCATCTGCAGAATTAGGATATTCTCTGAAGTGTTCATATGGAGTGACGAGGCCTTATTTTCACATGCATTCATAATGGCAAGCAAAGATAGAACATAGACATCTTAAGAGGTTAGTATAGAGTGTATATAAGAATGGAAGACTAAGGCTATTTGAAGACTTCTTTTTAACCCAAAATTTCTCTCCTGAACCTGTCCAACTCGGTTGATTACCAGATCAGCCCAGTAAATTTGGAATGAAAAATTTATGACAATACACATAAAAAATGAATTACTTAACAATTTATTGTATTTTTTTTTTTTTTTCATTCGAAAGAAATTAGGTGTGGTACCAATAGGCGATAAGATGAGAGAGATGGGACTTAGGTGAGCTGGCCATGTGTGGCGCCGACCAAGTACAACACCTATTAGGAGGTGCGAGCTAGTTGGTGTGGAATGACTGAAAAGGGTAAGGATAGGTCCAAAAGGATGTGGTTGGAAGTAGTTTAAAAAGATACGGGAATTTAAGGCTCCATTGAAGGGTATAACTTTCATTAGAGCAAAATGGCGGACCAGGATTCGTGTAGCCAATCAAATTAATCGAAAAACACTATGTTGTGATGATGAATGTATTTTTTGTTTAATTTCAAAACCCCATCAAAATACATATGATAGTGTGCTCGGACTCATGTTTGCCAGAGCACTTGCCCCTTGGTTAAGGCGAGTTACTTAGCGGAGTCTAGTACAAAGCCCTTTTGGTATTTAAAAATTTAAAAAATAGAAAAATTTGAAAAATAAAAAATTGTAATAAGAGTAAAATTGAAACCTAAACAACATTAAAAATTCGACATAAGCTTATAATTGTAGAGCAAAATGGATATGAAAAAACTAATTTACAATTTGAGACGTTTTAAAAATTCTAAAAAAAGTGAAAATATAAAATGATGATCATGACCAAATACATTAACCAATATTTGCCAAATACATCAAAATCTTATTCAAATGGATTTAAAAATTCAATCTAATACTTTTTAGTTATTTTAGAATTTTTTTATTTTTTTTCTTTCCCCGATTTGTACATCCAACTTGAAAAACTCAGCCTCGCCAATAGGGCTAGCCCGAGTCCGTGTCGATTCGGGCGAGTCACTATACATTGGATCATGAGTTGGAGTAGTTGAGAATAAACAAAATATTAAATAGATAAATTCGATGTATTATAATAAAGTTATCTTTTTTATCCCAGGTTTCATTATTTGAGGTAGGAGAATGTACCATTAGTAAGGCCTTAATGTGTGTCATGGTTAATGGTGTCTTGGGGTCCCCCTTATCCTTGAGGTCCAATAGATAGTTAAGAAAATCATGAGAACCTTCCTTTCCCCCATCCTTCATCCTCTGCTCAATTATCTCATTAAATATCCCATCAAACCTCACAAACAAACCTCCCATCTTCTTCTCAATCCCTTGTAAATCCAATGGCCTCAACAATGGCAACAAATCCGAGACATTAGGCCTCCCCAACAACTCGGTTATCTCCCCAACGAGTCTCCTAAACTCGACCGCCTTAGCCCAGTCATCTTGATCACCCGAGTCTTTTCCCCATAACATGTTTGTTATTATGTTGAGCGCAGTTAAGAACATGTGCGCGCCCACATTGACTGGTGTGCCTGCTTTGTGCAGCATCTCGCGCACAGTGGCTCGGGTCTGGCGCCTTCGTAGTGTGTAGAGCGAGTCGAGAATGGTAGAGTTCAGTAGCTCGCGCACACATACCTGGTCAGAATAATCAAGAAAATCAATGTGATTTATAAGGGTGGCAATGGGCCGAGTAGCCCGACCTTGAAAAACTAGAGCCTTGCCCACAAAATATTGCCCAAGGGCTTGGCCTAGGTCAAGGCAGGCCCAGCCCGACGATCTCTTTTTTTTCGCTTTATTTTGAATTTTATTTGGCCTGATCCGGCCCTAATAGGGCTAGAGTCGGGCCTAGGCCAAAGTCTTTTTGGCCCAATCATAGCTGGACGGGCTTGGGCCCAGGGCCCAGGGCGGCCAGGGCCATTGCCACCCATTCTAATTTATCGTGAAAATTATTTGGGAATAAGATTTTGGATACGTATGAGCGCTTTAAAGGTTTGAGCAAAGTATTGACGCATCCCAATATTTTTTAAAAGACATTGTATTACTGCCGTTTACTTTTCATATAAGGTGGTCAAAATTAGTCCAAGCGATTAGATATAAATTTCGACGATTTAAAATGTGTTACAATGTTTTAAAAATTTTATTTCGGACTTTGTATCTAATCAATCGTACATCCCCAATTAGCCAATTTCACATCCAATAGTCAACAGTAGTTGTGACTTTGATATACTGAAAGTAAATGGTCTTATTGTATAATGTTAGTTAAAAAGTTGTTGGATCGAATCGGAATCGCTTGGTTCAACCGAGAACAGTTGGTGGGCAATTTAATTCACGGACGGCTTGGAATCACTTTCCATCTTTGGGTAAAATTATCGAATTTATCCTTTGGTCCATAAGTTTGGCAATTTATTTGTAAGCCCTACTCCTTCATTTTTTCCACCGGTTCGATGTTTCAAACATGGAATCATTTATTTATTTTTATATTTGTGGAGTGGTCCGATATCTAAAATGTTGAACCAACCCATTTTTAGGTTGTCTAATTACTGTAACATTCAATTCCCTACATTTTTTTTGGCCCATCCTTCTTTATAGGGTTATCTGATATTATAAACATCGAACCACTATTTTTCATAATTTTTTCTATTTTTAGCTATTTGAGCTTTCGAACATGGGTCAGCATATACTTTGGGAAAAAATGTAGGTCAAAAGTAGTTCGATGTTAAAAAACTCGGATTGTAAAAATATTTTAAAACTATGAAAAGGGTGGTCTGATATTTATACATCAGGTTACCCTATAAACAACATTGGGCAAAAAATGTAGGGTCATTTGATGTTGCGATTACCGTACCACCCTACAAATTGGGTGGTTCGATATATTGAACATCAGAAAATGCCACAAATGTCAAAAAAATTTAAAAATAAAAATTAAGTTCTTCGATATTTGAAACATCAAACTGATAGCACAACTGAAAAAAAAAAAAAAAAAAACTAAAAAAAATCCTAGCCAGCCGTTGTTGACATCAGATGGTCCCTGGGATGAATGGTGTGCTGTTAAAGTTTTTGTGAGAAATTTCCATGCGCTCATATGCACTTCTCCATGGGATATTTTAGTCAAAGATGATCAGAAATTATGAATAAAATAAGTTTTTAGGTCAGTTCGTTGCCTAAGTTCAATTTTTTTTAATATTTTATATGGTTATCTAGGGGAAATGAATAGAACGTTTTCTATAACAAGAACTAGGCGGTAGATTGGGCTGCTTATGGGCCCGGGTCGTACAGTGGGATTTCAGGTTCGGGACTAGTTTAGGGCGAAGTTCAGGCCAGGTACGGTCCAATCGGAAATTGAATTTTTGGACCAGGGCTACCTTGCATAGTTTACGGTCAGCCTTGGACGTGGGCTGGCCAAGCCCATTACCCTCCCTATTGGTAGAGTACATACATCCTAAAGTTATTTGAGATGTGTAAACTATAGGGATTTTATACAATGAGGTCATTTATTTTGATAAAAGGCGGTCACAATTACTTACAACCATCCAATGTGAAATTTGATAGTTTGGATGTGTCACAATTTGAAAAAACTTCTTTTGAAGTTTGAATTTGGTCAACAAAATAATTGTAGCCACCGAGTTTCACATCCAATGGTCAAGATTAATGTGACCACTTTGTACCAAAGATAAATGATTTCGTTTTATATGTTTCCTAAACTATATAACAAATCCTACTAAACTAATAAGAAAGGAAAAATTACAAAAAACTCCTCAAGGTAGACTTTCTAGACAACCTCCCTTAATTACTTTTTTTTTTTTCCACAACTTGTACTCCAAATCTAATTTTTATAACAAATACCATTTTTTCGTACATGATGATGTTACATCCTTGTAGGACGTTCAATGGCTAAATATGGTCTGGAACATATACTTGTCGGATTGGCTGTCGTCACAAAAACAATTTCTCACACAACCATTGCTTGTACACTTACTCCCAGACCGACTGTACATATTTCCGGAGTAAAATTTCACTTGCCGAACCGAGATCAATACACCTACTGCCGGATTGCTAATATACTATGCCACACCTAGTGCACCCCCAAGAAAAGGGCATTTTCGTCCAAAGAACTCAATAATAAACTTTGGAAGATAAATAATGAACACGACTAAATCATATAAATCTAAAATATTGAATGATATATGAAAGTATGCTTTCAGGGAAGGTGACCTATGTGTCATCAATTATTATTTTTACTTCCAATTATTATCTACTATTATTTGATAATATCGATAACATTATCTCAACCAGAAAAAAAAGGTATAACATTATCAATAATCTCATTTTGTCAACAAGAAAAATATATAATACGACAATATGGTCGTCATAGCAATTTTTAGTGGAAGAACCACTTTCGATGTCATAAGAACAGCCGCTATGATGGAAAATAATGGCTATTATATCGCTAACGGTTGTTAAAAATGATTCCTCGAGAAAATAATGACTATTATTTGTCTTTTACAATGGCTTTTTGTCCTTTACATTCGATTCCATTCTAACTAGTAAAACAATGATTAAGTTGCAATAAAATAAGGTATATTAGCAAAAGGAAGGATTCTTTTTATGGAAAAGGGATTGTATATTGTAAGATTATTTATCTTTTTTAAAAAGAGGTCACAATTGTTATTTATCATTAAATGTCAAATTGGACGGCGTAGAGTGTGTTTTAAAAATCTATCCGATTTTTTAAAAAAAGGATTTGCAATGTTACCTTTCAAAACTCCTCTAGAAAAGTGAATTCAGTCCGAAAAAGAACTTGTGGTGCATTGTAAATTCAATTTCGTCCTTGTGAAATTTGAAACTTCGAATTAGTCTAGATCTTGAATATTTCCAAAGACTTGAAAATAATTTATGACAAAAATATTGCAAGATGGATCATATTTACCTCATATGATTTTCCTTCTTTGTCAACACTGAAACAACCCTTTATAACAAAATTTGAAGTGGCTGGATAAGGCTATGTTTATAAAACACCGTCCCCTTTCTAAATATTTCTCTATTACCTTGTCCGTTATCTTCCCATCTTTTTTCCCGTTCTTATCAATTTTTAGTTGAACTACCGTTTACCCCTGTAACGCCCGTTACCATTAAAATGGAAATGGATCGGGTCGGTCATGAACTCTATGCCAATGTTGAGAAATTTATTTTAAAAGAAGAACACATTTTTTCATCGCACCTTGCGGAGCAAGCGCCAGAGAGGGCCGTGCGGCGTCCACACGATGTCCGATCCGCCGTAGGCGATGCGCAGCGCTGCTGCCGGCACATCCCGGTTCGCGAACGTGACATCATGGTCCTTCAAGACCTCGCGGGCGAGTTCCGGCGAGCTGATCACGACAGCGAGCTTGGTGCCCAAGCGGAGGCTCATGAGGGGGCCATGGCGCTTCGAGAGAGAGGCGAAGCACTCATGGAGGTTGGGGTCAAGAGAGGGGAGGTTGCCGAGGAGAGGCCACCCTCGTGGTCCTGGAGGCAGGCGTTGCTTCCTCTTTGCGATGGCGTAAATGGTGGCGATTAGAGTGAGGGCGACGAGCACGAGGGCGTTGGTGTGGCCAATTTCGAGCCTTGGTTGGGCTAGCCATGGCCTGGCTGGTGGCTCCATGGTTAAGTGTGTGGCTCGTTTTCTAGAGAGAGAGAGAGAGAGAGAGAGAGACAGAGGGATCAAGGAGTGTGTGAGAACCATTCGAAATCTTGGAGATTAAATAACAGTGAAAAAGTTACCAGCTGAACAGGTTGAGACCCACATCAAGAGACGACAACCAGGCATTAAAGGGAATCTTAAAGTCCCCATCAATGGTTTAAAAAACGGATCAGTGACCCGGATAGGGTTTTCAAAAAATCGATCCGGATCGGCGAATCGGCGATCCTGATCGAGAATCGGGTGAATCGGTCAGAATAAAGTTTAATAAAAATTCGAAAAAATTATTAATATTCATTATAAATATTGTTTTTTAGGAATTCAATAAGAAATGAGGGTACTCCATTAAGAATTTTCATGTTTTTGAATGAATATGCGAATATTGATATGTTCTTTCCCTGCATGAACCGCCATTCAGCATTTAATTTACATCACACAAAAAGATAAACATATAATTATCATGGAATAAGTATATCAACATACATGGACCACAATAAAGCATAAAATTAGTAACATATGATCTAAAAATAAAATGATAGACGACGTTATTGTTCTTCTTGGTCACGCTGGTACCATTGATTAAATTCATTTAACAATTCATTGATTCGATCTAAAAACGAATCATCGATATTAGCAGGCGTCTGACTATTCCCAAATCCCTGAGTGTTAGTGTTTTGTTGTGTTCCCAATCTAAAATCCCCGAAGCTTGTCCATCCTTCATGCTCACCTGCACTGTCGTGCTCATCCGTACACTGTTGCTGTTGGGACTCGATATGTGAATAATATGGCTGGGATAGGGTGGCCTCAGAATCATCATCTCTCTCA